CACTAAGGATATCGTAGGAACACTAATCCACAATTGTGCAGACATAAACCTTCTGAATATACAAATCAACTCGAATCATGTTATTATGTTGAAACCTAACTTACTCTTCCTCCTTTTTCCTCTTTTTCATTCAGGCGCAATCACATTAAGCCCGTTATCTCCACACACTCATAGCAAGGCGACCGGTTAGTGACTCTGATCCTTTTTGTTTGGGGTTCTGGTACTTACGTGGCATAACCCTTTGCCGACTCAATTGTAGTTGCGGGGAATCAGACCATAATCCGCCCTACCAAGTTCAGCACCAGAAACCGCTGAACCAACTAACTAGTAAAAAAAATTTCAACTTTTTCTTTTCTTTTCTTTTTCTTTTTTTCTTCTTTTTATTATTTTTTTCTTTTCAATTTGATCACTCACTTATATTCATCGGCTTCCCTGCGTAGAGTGTGTATGAGATGGTGCTGACTGCTAAAATAAACTACTCAAGAGCTGTCAGAGAATGAAAATTTAAGGCTAAACCATAATAAGAATTCAAATCAATTTCCATATGCAGGAGACGTACGGTGTTAAGACGATACCGATCTTGTGAATTTTTCCCAAGTCTCCGCAAACTAATCTCAAATTAGACTATAGCCTCAAACTTTCAAGAAGATGCGTTTTTTTATTTGACTGAAAACAAACAAAACGAAACAAAGAAATTATTCTCTCCCCCACACTTAAAACATACATTGTCCTCAATGAAAGAACAGAAATATAAAATAAAAGTGAGGAGAGATAGGAAAGGACACACCCGAGGAGTCAAGGTGGATAGATGATCGCTTAAGCAGCATTTTCTAAAGAGAGCTCTTCTGCAGTCTCTTCTTCCAAAGTGGGACTCTCATGGAGTAGCTTTGGGCAGTGACCATTGTTTTTGAAATTTTTAGTGATGTCTTCGTCTTTTATTCCAGGATCAAAGAAGGTCCTTCGATACGTAAACGTGTCGAATGGGCACGTGAACATGATCTCATTTTTCACGTCAAGAATAAAAGGACTAAGGGGTTGTCTCACTAATTTAGCTCCTTCTTTAAGCAGAATCCGATGCATGCACCTGAAAGGGCTAATACCGGGAATGTCCGCCAAGGTCCACCCTATTTCCTTTTTGTGCCTCTTTAAAACCTGAAAAAGCCTACTTTCTTGATTAAAATCAAGGTTAGCTAAAATAATAATAGGAAGCTTATCATTTATGTCTAAGAAGGAATATTTGAGATTTTCTGAGAGAGGTTTGAGTTCTAAAGACGGGGGCTGCTCAATAGATGGGATGGTCGGGGCAGCAAGAACTTCCAGAGCCTCAACCGCACAAACCACTTCATCGATAACCTTATCCACCTGCAAAATATCAGTCCGCAATGCAGCATTTATCTCGGCACAAGTAGAGCAAACATTAGTGTTAGTGCACACATCACAGGAGAAAATATCATCATAGTCTAGTAAAGACGGGAAATCAGATAAAAACTCGGGAAGTGTATCGTCTACTAAGTCAGAAAGTAACTCAATCTGAAACACTGAATGCTCTTCCATGAGATGTCTCATTGCATCAAAGATTATGGCCAGGATTGCAAATGCAGCAACAAATCCGATAATTCCCACAATATCCCTATAGGTCAGAATCAAACTCAAAGAAGGAAGATGGTTAAAATAAAATCGAAAAAATTTAAAAACACAAAATTTAACCTAATTAGATCAAATAAGAAATTTGGAATTTTTTTTGGATTTTTTTTGAGATAGTGAAAACAGTAAAAAAATTAATTAAAAATAGAAAAAATAGGAATTGGCGATTCGAGGGGCCAACTCCTATAACTCTTTTAGAGTTAAGGACTTTTGATCGCACGATTTTTCTGCTTCAAGTTCACGAAACAGATCTAAAAAAGAAGGCGATTTGCCCAAAATCTGTTTTTTTTTACTTGGTCTGACGAGAAACAAGACGGTCGGACGCGAAAACGCAAGAAAATGCACAAAAATGCAGAAAATTAAAACAAACAAAACCTAAAACTAGATTATTGGCTAAATCAACAAGAATTCCCGACAACGGCGCCAATTGATCCGCTGTCGCGCGCGGATCAAAAACGAGTAGTTTGGAAATGGTAGTTTAGCGACAATGACTCGAGTCGTATCGCAAGGATTCTTGTAACGAAATAACCAATTACAGTAACAAATTATGGGGGGGTTTGGTTTGATGTAGGTTTCCGATTAAGAAGAAAAAGTACTTAAAATAATTGATTATTAAAATAAGTTGTTGTGAAATCAGTGATTAAAGTAACAGATCCACTGCCTCGGTTCTTACTAATCATCGACCGATGAAAATACAATTTCCCAAGCGGGAATTCTATCCTATTTGATGAAAAATCAGTCAACAAGCGTGGTTGATTTTATGAGAACATGTTCCTATGGCCGGATTAAGCATACGGTAAATGATAGAGCAAATTAACAGTTAAGCAGAGTTAATCTACGATTAAAATTGGGAACGCAGATCAATCAAATTGAATCAATTACACTATATGATAATTGAATTAATCAAACAACAATCACATGATATAATTGAAAGGAATAAAAATTAAACTGTAATTATCATAACAATCTCAAAGTTTGAACCTGAGTACAGTGAATCCGTCCAAGGAGGATTAGTTCTCCATGCGTTTACAAGCTTTCCCAATAGTTTTTTTTTTCGTGAATAGTGAATAGGATTTTTGGCTGTACGGCCAGACCTAAACTAAAGAGGATAAAAACCAGAATTCAGATCATAACCCAACTGGGTCGAAAGTATAACTCAGACCCAAAACATGACCCAAAACTAAAACAAATTCCTAATGCTGTAACTTCAAACGAAATTCTAGAATTTTGGGCTCCGAATCTGACTTCGACTCCAACACGAAAGTCGTAGCTCTCTCTCTTAGCTTTCCGGCAATTTTTAGAACGCCTCAAACGGACTCCCGGAACTCCAGTTATGATTTTTCTCGCGAAAGCTGTTAAAGCTGAAAAATAAATACGAAAAACAATTAAATGCAAAAATAAAATAAAATATAAAAACACGTTAAAACATAAAAATAAATAAATAAAATCAAAGAAATGCTTGAGTACAAACATGGAAGAACGTGCATCAAAATGCACTGATCACAGTCTTCCGTTGTGGGCCTGGACACTCAGCCTAGAACGGAAACCATTGACCATGCGTTGTGGACTCACAATAAAAACTGTCATCTACAGGAAGTCAGGTATTCTATTATTTACGCTTTTCTGCTCATCTCTTCACCTGAACTAACTTAGGCATCGAAGTGTTTGCAGGTACCTCCCCGCTTTTTCGCTGACCGTTCAAGTCCACTGACGTGTTGTTGGCCACTTATCTATTCTGATCGGCAGATTTTATATATATATATATATATATATATATATATATATATATATATATATATATATATATATATATATATATATATATATATATATATATATATATATATATATATATATATATATATATATATATATATATATATATATATATATATATATATATATATATATATATATATATATATATATATATATATATATATATATATATATATATATATATATATATATATATATATATATATTATGAAGATTGCACTAGGCTCGGCAAGTGATTATATGCTTTTGTTAGTTGACTTATGTATTCTCAGACCTACTTCATAGAAAGAAAGTAAGAGGTATAGACAATTACAATGCACAATGTTACTTACAATGTTTGTATTTTTATTTAATCAAGTAAAAGAATAGAATCGCACAACATATAAGGAAGATTTCACATTGTAAGCTTTCTAGTTCACAAGTTCCTATCCTAAACTTCCAACTTCTCATAACCAAAATTTCCCGCAAAGCTATTTAAAGGTTAGTTAAGGGAAAGAATATCACCCTTTCATTTTTAACTGATCAATCCAACAATTGATCACTCACACAAGATTGTTTCATTTACGAGCAAGAGCAAAAGACAGTCTCACACAATACTGATAATAAATTGAACCAATTCCAACATGATTTTAAATTTAACTCGATAATTAAATCGTTAAATTAAATTTATAAAACAAATTATTTGAATATGAACAAAAATATTAAATTTGTTAACTAAATTAGTTAAACTTAAACTATAAATAATTTGACTTGTTAAATTCATGAATAAATTTGATTATATATGAGAAGAGTTATATTATTGACTCTAAAATTAGATTTTAATATTTACTCCAAATTTTAACCCTATAGCTTATTTTAATTTAACGGTTTTAATTAATCATTTATATTCTCAAATGAATAAAATATTTTCAAAAATAATTATACAAATAAAATTAACATTACAAAAATAATGTTTTTTGATTAAGTTTTGAATTAGATTTTCAAATGTATTTTTTAAAAGTTGTGTAGTTTTTGAAGAAAATTTTGAGAGTTAAATTTCAATTTTGTAATTTTTATTTTATTTTAATATTTTTTAAAATTGACTTTTAAATTCGTGAAACAAGTTTGCTGAACCTAACAAGATGTTCGTGAATTTATAATAAATTGAGTTGAACTTAATAAAAATTCTGTGACAAACTCGAGTCGAGATTTAAATCAAATCAATTCCTATCGAGTTGAACAGAGGCAAATTCGACTCAACTCGATTCATTTTTATCTCTATCCTAAGCAATTTTATTGCACACTTAACAAATTATAAAGCTATGATTTAAGCATGCTTCTTTAAACATATATCAACTGCAGAGAAATACATAAAAGAAATAAGCCGCTAAAAGCTCTTCAATTGGAGCTTGAAGGGAATGATATAGCTATATATATGGGAACATTACACATTTAATCACACGACTAAGACAGATAGAAAACCTAGCCAAAAAATTATTTGGTGTTGTATAACCATATAAATGGAATGACGATTCGCACTTACAGTACATATTTTCGCCACTCAAATTATTTTCATAACCAATTGGTGTCGATAGAGACTATCGATAATATGCCATGTGTCTGGATGAAAAGAATGGAGAGCTCGCGAATGAATTCCCTTGAGCATTAGATGTATTGTTGACGGGTTTCTTCTTTTCAATCTTTGTTTCAGCACGGAGCCAGGACTCAACAACAGATAGTAGATTAGTTGAAGACTTCAACTCATTAACATCTGATATTTTTTCTGCTTTTCTCAGTTCACCTTCTTGTATGTATGCCAAATGAGTTGCCCATGTCTCTAGTCCATCAAAAATGTGAGTTGCATATACAATTGTAGCTTCTCTCTGCGTCAAATAAAAACATAAGAAAATAGTTATATTGTTTTTGAACCCAACTTTCTAGCATTTGCAAGATGGGCTCCATGAATACTTTAATAGGCCTGTTGCAACAATATACAGTATATTCTTTGACTCTTGTAGAAACTGAAGATCAAACTCGTTCAATATTTTTTAAGATTACTTGTTTTAGTTCTTTTGCATTGAGGCCATCCTCGTTGCAGTTTTCTCAAACTTACATTCAGCATGTTTTAGCATGCAAATATACAGAGCTAGTGAATACCTGCTCACATTCTTCCTTGAAGAATTCCAATAAATCCATTCGGGTAACAACATCCAGGTCAACTGTAACCTCATCCAGTAAGAGGACCTGAAATGTCAATCAAGGGTTACAGCTTTAGATTGGATTGATTTTGAATTGGTGCATTAATAAATAAACACACTCACACAGCCACACTGTCACGCGCATAAATAAATCAAAATACATTAACCAATTATTGGATGTCATATTGGGCATCTGCTTACTTGAAGAGTAAATCTTGTTGAAATGCATATATTTAATTACTCTTTGTTTTCATAGAATACTATTGAAGTAAAAATTTTCATGAATACATAAATGACTTGATAATTCATCAAACTTCAATTTAATCCATAATATATATTTTTAACTACAAATAAATGCGGACTACGAGATTGCATAACTACAAATGTACAATTTCATCTAAAACTTAATATTCATGATCACTAATATAGTATCGCAATATTTAGCTAGTGGAATAATAAAATTTAATGTATGTGAGTTTTTAGAAGAATAGATTTTGCAAGAGTTACTCTTAAAGTGTGTACAATTCAAAAGACAACAAATTACTAGAATTCAGAGGGTTTTTTATTTCAAGAGATGGAGGCCAAGATAAACTGATAAAGTAGGTGTACAGAGTTCACACTCAGATGAAACCATTTACACACTAACATTGTCCACAACAGCATAACTACCACATACAAATTCCCTAGGAAATTTGATCCTTTATACCTTATATGGATGAAGAAGACCCAGACAGATCTGCACTCTACGCCGCTGCCCATCAGAAACCTTATGCATTCGCCACTGCAGATCAATATCAAGCAGCTCAATCAACTTGTCTCTCCTATCTGGATCAATGCCTTCTACTGTAAAAAGCAGGGGAGCATCTTAGTTTTTTTATACATCAAAATTAAAGAGCAATTGTTTTTGGATGACCAAATATCATGTGGAACCTGCATGCAACACTTGTATACATAGCATGATTTCAGTGTTCATTATTTTACTAAATTTTGTCCTTAATAGGAGGTTAAGGAAGGACTTCATGATATGGTATGATCATTTTTTCTCATGATATTTAAAATTTTTAAAAGCTAGAGATACGGTTGCATTTCATAATAAAGAAATGCGTGTTTGAAAACCCACCACCAAATATCATATGCTCTGCAGAGAAGTCTCCCTGGAGTGGAATGTCTCCCTAGATGACAGCAACAACATTAGTATTAGAAATGGAATTGACCAAAGCAAAGGCTACAAGGGTTACTAGAGGGGGCCAAGGCAAAGTCGTAAGGTCAATTCTTATGTCCATTACCCAAATAAATAAAGAGCTTACATGAAGAAATGTCAGAAAAATGTAAATTGTGTCAAAACTAAACTACTAGAGATCTAAAGATCTGAAGTGGGTCACTAGATTTTACTGCCATCAAGCTCTTGCTAGGACCTAAGCCCACATTATGACCAGGATGACAATACATGTGTGACTTATACAAAATGAAAACAAGCATTAGAGAAAACCAATCTATAGTTCAGGCTAAGCGAACACAGAGGGCAGTGCATGTATACTACAAACATGATCCCCACATTTGTCTTATAATACTTATCAAAAGCCTAAATGCTTGGCTTAAGTCCACCTGAAAAAGTGGGGACAAAATAATCAATTCAAATTAAATACAAAGGCCAGCCATTCATCAACGTTGCAGAATAGCTTCTACTCTTGAGAATTTGAAAACCGCCCTATTTTTGAAAGAGTTACATTTTCTATAGGTAAAATACATTATGAAATCAGGAACTAAACCCTGTCCTCAAAACTAAGATTATATCAATAAAAACTTCCATTAGGAAGGAATAGAAACAGGCTCAAGAGAAACAAGATTAAAAAGCACTCGGGTAACAAAAAAACACCAGCTCTTTCTCCCGATGCATTATTAGAGCTTAAAACCTTATACAGTAAAGGAAAGTTGGAATTGAAACATTAACTACAAATCCAACATTCAAGTCCTAAAGCATACAAGTGTGGTCCAGGTACATATATGAAATGTTTTATGATCAACTTATTGATCTTATCTACGGGCATAAACACTTGGAAGACTATGACCCTATTTGGATAAACGACTTAATTTGCAGTGTATAGCATAAATGTTTATCATGATAAACAGTTATAATTAAGTTATTTCTATTTCTATAACGAAAGATAAAATAAGTTTAAACTGTTTTCATATAAGCTATAACCTGTTCTGGAGAGCTTGTGAAAACAAGATGAAAACAACTTATAAACATGTCATAAGATGTTTTCATAGGTTCTAGCAAACACTCTCACAAGTGCTTATGTCAGCTTATAAACTTAAGTTTGCCAATTCAACAGGTCCTATACGGGAGTGCATATATAAACAACTAATGACATGGCCATAACTTATTTTCAGCTTCATTCTATAAGCTTTCCAAAATAACTAATTACTTACAATCTACATAAGCTTCATTCCACAAATCAGTCTCACAAGTGCTCAAGTCAACAAATAAACATAAATATATCAATTCAACAAGTCCTATTTAGGAGTGCTTATTGAAACAAGTTATGATAATATCATAAGTTGTTTTCAACTTCATTCTATAAGCTTTTCAAAATAATTACGAAAACAATTCACAACTTATATAAAAATAAGTTGACTCTACTTTACCTTTTGTTATAGAAAAAAAAAACCTTATACATAAGCACTTATATGATACAACATTATGAATCGAAGTTGTCTCACGATAATAAACCACCAGCAATTTCTTTATGGCAATATAACACAGCATTATGAATCAAAAATTGTCTCCGAATCCGAACAAATAATGAACTAACTGAACCCTATTTCGTGACAGCATTGAAAAATAAAAAAGAATAGAACATAAAATTCAAAACTCACAGCGCAGCCAACGTTTTTACTCCAAGATCCACCCAAATAAGCAAGATCTCCACTACAAACAAGCTGCGTATCATGAAAAGCGGAACAATTCAACACACGCACAACGTCTTTTCCTCCAACCATATGTTTCCCAGCCAAAATCTTCAGCAAAGTCGTCTTCCCTGCATCCAAAACGCGATTAACAAAGTTAACAAAGAGCTCCTAACAATTATAAACAATGACGACAGAACAATGTTTACCGGATCCGTTGGCACCGACGAGGAGGCACCGAGATCCAGGAGAGACGTGGAGGTTAAAATCGAGGAAAAGCGGCGGTAGTTGTTGTAGTCCGTCGTATGAGAATTGCATGCCTTGGACTTGGATTCCTCCGGAATTTTCATTCTCTTGTTGTTTTTCTTTCGCCATTGTGATTTGGAACTGTAACGGTGATAACTGTAAGTAGAAGTGGGGATGAAGATGGAGATGGAGGTTTTTAAGTTTTTCTAATTTGGAATTCGCGCCGATACAAAACGAACACGTTTGCGTCGGCTGGTTGTAAACGAAATCTGTGAATAAACGATAATCCACGTCGCTTCATTCTTCCACCCACCTCTTTCCATAATGATGGAAAAGTCGAACCTCGTGTTGTTTGGTGTAAACATTTAACAAAAAGAGAACAACACTTTTTTAATAGTCCTCCAAAGTTAGTTTAAATAAATAAATAAATAAACAAAAGAGTCACTTCTTCGGTTTTAAAATAAATGTTAGTTTAAGATTTTTTCACACAGATTAAAGAATATAATAATATTATTATAAAATATTACATTTTATTAAATTAATTTTATTAATATGTGTGTTTTTCTTGAAAATCGGAAAACAACCGATGATCTTTCAAATTTAACTTTGGTTACTCACAAGATCGATCAGATTGATCCTAAAACATGTGCTAAAAAGGTTTTCTTCGGAAATCTATCTAAGTTTCGCACTTAGGCAATATTGGAGTGAAAGGCTCTACAAGGTATTTATTCGACTATTAAAGAAGAGAAGATAAAGTTTCCAACGATAAAAGATAAAAGATTTAGAAAAGAGGTTGAGAATGAAGGCGAAGTAAAATGCATAAAAAAGGGGGGGGGGGGGGGGGGGAGATTGCAAGACAAATAACGAAAGCTTAAAAAGGTTTGAACAAATAAAATAAATTTCATTGGAAAGTAAAGGCTGGTGTGTTTAAATCACGTACATTCTCTTCGATACTCTCTTTCTCTGCACTCGGATACTTGGAATAATTTTAAGAGTGACTTGTACAACAGTAAGTTACAACACACATGATTCTATGTCTAATACTTCCTATTTATAATAGTAGGAAATAACTACCAATAACATCCTATATCATCATCTTCCGCCACATGTCATAATGCATGGGTCTGTCGCCCTCATGACGCCACATGTCCTCTTAGTCATCAGCGAATGAAAACACTCCCTCCAATTTATTTAAATTTCAAATTTAGGATAACTACCCAACAACGTCATGGTCGAAGCCTTCATGATTTTCCTTAAGTCTTGTAAATGCTTCGACTCTTCTTCCTCAGATGTCCTACACTTTTCGACTAGCTCTCACCTTCAGCAAGATTCTAATACTTTCTCTAAAATAGTTTAACTTGCAAGGGGTGTCGAATTTAGGAGCTAACAAATTGCCCCCCAGAAAATGTCTTTTCGACCCCTATGTAGAAAAGTGCATTTTTTTGACAGCATCCAATTCGACGTCATTTACTTCAACTTACACGTGTCAAACAATGTATTTTGGCCAACTAGTGTCTGGGAAGATGAAAGGGGAAATCCTTCGACAACAGTCGAAACCCAAAGCGCAACGGGTGGTTCCGACTAAACATACGCTTGATACTTTTAAAGGGCACCTTCATGTTAGTATCGAAGATGTTCGCATCGAATCCGACATTCTTGAAGATCATCCCCCTTTCGATTTGGACTCTTTCATCTGAGCTTTATTGTTACTGACTGGCAGTGGCATGGTTTATTTTGCAGCTGCTCCTAAAAGAACTGCTCCAACACCAAAGATCGAAGGCAAGGTCGAAGACCAAAAGGTAATCTCCTGCAAGCCTTTGTTAGCTTGTTTTCCTTAATTGCTCCTAACATCTTTTGTCGTTTCAGGTTAGCCGGAAACCATCTACTCCACAAAAGAGACTCAAAGGGCTTCTGCCTAAATCATCATTGACTCAGACGATGAAGATAGATCTCCTCGTGAGAATGCCCAAATAAAGAGATGGCGAAAAGTTACCCACGGCCTAGATACCCCTGATGTTCCACCTGCTCCCTCAACAGTTAACATTTCCAAACTGAACACTCCCCCTCAAGATCCTGCGAAGGCTCCCACAGAGGATACCTTAATTCCATATATTGTTCCTATCGAAAGCGACAACTCAAGCCCTGCTGATGGAAACATTAAGGTATAATGTGCATTTAACTGTTTTCTTCTGGAACCTGATTTTTTTTCGTCTTGCTTTTCCTTATGTCTGTTTCTTCGTCCAGGCTGATGCCGGAGGTTTGGAAACTGCTCCACCCAAGTCTTCTTCGCCAATTTTTCCTTTGAACAGTCAAGGTGAGCCCACTTACCATCCTACCTCTGACTTGGGTTCTAGTATGAGTTCTCTTAATGAAATTAATAAACCCGAGTTTACCACAGTTCCCCCTTCACTGACAAAGACCACGACCCAACAATCTTAAACCGATGGATATGATCATGAAGAAGATAAGGTTTCAGCTAATCCTGATGTAGCCGATGGTGCAGAAACTCTTATGGAAGAGGATACAAATTTGGCTGACACAAACAACTCTCCTTTAGATCAAACAATGACCGTTGATGAAACAATCGCAGGGGAAGATGATTTCGTCGAAGACAAGACCATGCATCAGTCAGAACTAGACGAGTCTAGCGACAGGGGAACCGAAGATAAAATGGAAGAAGATGCCACAGAGGGAGATGAGAGTAAGGGAATGAAACCTAAAGAACATCCTGTCGATGGACCTACCCATGTTGAGGTGGCTAAAACTACTACTGCTGCTACTCTCAAGGAAAGTGAAGCAGTGCCCCTCAAGGGTGAGGCCAATCTTACCGCAACAGAACTTGATGCATTGAAGGTCTCTAACCCTCGACAATACATCAAACCCCTCTTGAGTAAGCGAAATAGTTCTTCTGGTAAGACTCCCAGCACTTCAACCTCTGAAGGCCAAATCTCGAGCCACCCAACTGATAGCATTCTCGAGAAGATCAATGGAAAGATCTTTAAAGGGGATCTTTTCTCTCTTTTGCAAATGGGCCCAGTCAACCACCTCTCCTTGAAGGCTCTCCTATAGCAAGTGGATCTCAAATTGATTTCCCCCGAGGTCGCTAATATCATCCAAGAAGTTGATATCTTGATTGATCAAGTCCATAAAGACTTTCGACTGTTGCCCCAGATTGAGAATGATCTTTTGACGAAGTCAGGTAGTGAAGCCGCTGCTTGGACCGCTGTTGCCGAATCTGAAGAAAAAATTACAGGATTGAAGGAGATAAAAGAGAAGAATCAACAGGAGATCACTACCAATGAGGCAAACATTGCTTGTTGGGAGCGCAAAATTAAAAAACTTCGCAATAAAATAGCAAAAGCCAAAAAGAAGAATGTTGAATTGGCTTCTTTTGATGATTCTTCCTTAGCAACTGAACTCGATCATGCTGTTAATTTTGCTAAGGAAGCCTATCGTTTGGAAGCAGAAATTGCTCAATTGAGAACAGACAAGGCCCTATGTCAGAAATGCCTCGAGCTTCAAAAGTCGAACAATCTTAGAATAGGGCAAATCTCCCTTTTTAATTTATTAAGCTTTTGTAATAGCCCATTTTTTGCTGGCCTCTGTAAGCCATGTTTTAATTTCATGTTGTAAGACACTAGGCCATTTTGGCGTTAACACCATTTATGGCTTCGTTTTATATTTAGTTGTTACTCTGTTGATACTTTAACCTCTTGAAGCGCAGGCTTATATTTTTTCAAATATTTTCCATTTACTTTTAATATTCTCCTATCCTCGTTCAGCTCTTCCACTTCGTATGCCCCATTGAAGAAGACCTTTGAAACTTGGAATGGGCCTTCCCATTTTGGGGACCATTTGCGTAGGGATCTGATCTTTCAATCCATGGGTAGGATTACCCTCCAAACCAAATCTCTCACCAAAAAGGCCTTCGTTTTAACCTTCTTGTTATATGATTTCTCCACTATTTTCTTTTTCCTTCTCAACAGTTCCAAAGCTTTAAGTCTTTCTTCATTCAGATCCACTAACTCGTCGAGCATCATATCCTAATAGATTTCTTGAGGAATTTCATGATGTCTCTGAATTCTAACCGACTGTATATAGATCTCGACCGGTAGTACTGCATCATGGCCAAAAGTCAAACGATATGGGGTGGTCCTGGTTGCTTCCTTAGGGGACGTTCGACATGCCCATAGGACTTGGTCCAACGTTTTATACCAGTTTTTTGGCTTACTCCCAATCTGCTTTTTTATCATACCAATTATCACCTTATTTGCTGCTTCGACTTGGCCATTGGCCTGGGTGTAATAAGGCGTCGAAGTAAGAAGTTTAAATCCCATTTCTTTGGCGAACTCCTGCATTTTCCTACCCGTGAACACTGACCCTTGATCCGTCGTTATTGTTTCTGGCAGCCCAAATCTATAAACGATATACTTCTGAATGAACTCGATGACATCCTCTTGATCTACTTTTAGTAGAGGTATCGCTTCAATCCACTTGGTGAAGTAGTCTATCCCTACTAGGATATATTTTTGGTTTTTGGAAGACGCAAGTCGAATCTCTCCTATCAAGTCCAAAGCCCATCCTCTAAATGACCATGGCTTAACTATGAAGTGTAACTCTCTTGCTGGGACGTGTTGTATGCCAGCGTGAACTTGGCACTTCTGGAAACCCTTGGCGAACTTAATGCAATCCTTTAGCATCGTAGGCCAATACATCCCTTGGCGAAACAATATCCATTTCATCTTATGACCTACCTGGTGTGCTCCACATGTCCCACCATGGACTGATGACAACGCCAGGTACGCCTCCAATTGACTAAGGCATTTAAGCAAAACCCCATCAGAGGTTTTCTTGAATAACTCATTTCCTAGAAGAACTTAACTTTGTGCTTGATACTTCACTTTTCGTTCTGTGGTTGCTGAAGGGTTCTGAAGGTATTCGACTAACGGTTTCTTCTAATCTTTGTCTGTCAAACCTTCGACTGTAAAAATTTCGAAAGTTTCTTCATCAACGTAGCCAAACTTTGTCACTTCAAGGTCTGACGGTCTTAGACCTACGGACACAACCTTACCCCTGGCCTCAATTACTTCTTGCAAGTTTTCCTTCGAAACCCTATATCCTGATGCAAT